ATTATATAAATCGCGTATCAGCTTTCCACTGATGCAATTATCGGTTGAATTAGTTGAATATTAACAAAGATAGCCACATAGCAACGAGCTATTATGCACATTTTTCGGGTTTCGATTATTATCCATCTGTCTAGGGCATACATTTCTCTTATGAAGTTGGTAATTCTCACTAGATCTTACCTCACTATATCCTCAACTATCTGTAACTAGATCTCAGGTAGTAGGGGTTGACCTCCAGGTACTTAGCCGACATAGGGCACTAATTAAAAAAACGACCTTATGTACTCGATTGTACGTCGTTAGGACATGATTGTACAGTGAAAATATTTGTTTGTACATTCACCAATTAATTTTTAAAAATTAATCAAATTTTGACATGATGCTGGCCGACAAAAATTGTAAATTGTTCGATCAACCCCAATTAAGGGTCCAATCGAAAGGAAATCGTTTGGAGATTCTAAATTTAATGACCCCATCGTTTGTAGAATCATTTATAATTAAAAATTATACTGAAATGTTCAATTACCATTTATCCTTATTTCCATAGGATACGGACAGTCTCTGCATTACCTACATTAGTATTCAAAAAGTGTTGGTATGTGTGTTTACAATATTTTTGTACAAAAGTTTCTCATGTTAAATAACATTGAGGGGAATTATATCAATTTATATTGGAAGTTAATCATTTCATTTGTGCCCTTCTAGCCATTGGAAATATGTTCAAACGTAGTGTTACATTGTCAAGTATTATCATATCAGCCTAATTTAGGTTATAATCAGGTAAGAATTGTTGAAAAGTTTTTTATCAAACATTTTTATTAACAAGTTTTGATTTTTTTTTCGAACTTCCGCCGCGAAAACTAGTCATGAAAATGGCGATCGTACCGGTGCCTGATAATTAGCACCACATAATTAAAAAAATATTTTGTTTTCCATTTAGGACAATAGCAGGATCATCATAAAACATTGTAGTAGTATTCAAAATGTTTGTAGGTCCTCCATTGATTTGTTACTAATTAATTAAAATAATGAGCAAAAGTTAGCTCCCCACTTTCCTAATTTTCATTTGTAGACCCAAATTGACCTTGTCAACCGTTAGTAAATCGTTTGTAGGTAATAAATAATCTTGAATAATCTGTGTAGATCTAATTGTTGGTTAAAAATTAATTAATTATAATAAAAATTCACATAAATTAAAATTTATCATTCGATTAATTGATGAAGGTAATTAGGTACACTGAACAATCAAGTTTTTTTAGGGTGAAATGATTATATCGGTAAATTCGCCCTGCCCTGCATAACAACATTACGAAGGGTGTAACAATTTGCTATCTTGGGAATAATTATTTCACCCTAAAAAGAATTAATAGGGTCCCCAGACGATCGCCATTTTCACTAGTTTGCGCGGTGGATATTTGAATATTATAAATTACGATTTGATGAGATTCATTGAATTATCTTATCTAATTAGTGAAGAAGACGGTCTTTCAGTAATTTAGAACCTTATTCCAGTCGGCTTGCAAATATCAATACACAAATCATCCTTTTCTGAATTTGAAAAAAATAATTGACATATGCCAAAAAACCAAAAAAAAAATATTTTTTTGAAAAAAACCGCCAAGTCGTTTGATTGTAGATTTCGAACCGGGGATTCTACTTTTTTGAAAATAAAATGAAATGAGCCAAGTGAGAAAAAATCAGTAGAAGCAAAATAAAGTACTTGGCGCGGAGTTTTCCATCAAGTAGCCTGTCCCTTATCAATCTAATTTCAATCTCCTGCCCCGCGCCAAGTACTTTATTTTGCTTCTACTGATTTTTTCTCACTTGGCTCATTTCATTTTATTTTCAAAAAAGTAGAATCCCCGGTTCGAAATCTACAATCAAACGACTTGGCGGTTTTTTTCAAAAAAATATTTTTTTTTTTGTTTTTTCAGTTATCACAAACCAATCTACGCCATCCTCAAGGGAGAGCGATGCATTGGAACTGATCTAGAGACTAATCTTGATAGACAGGATGGACACACAAATGTCGTCGATAAAGAATATCATCAGATATTGAATGTTGCTAGGAAAAGTGATGAGAAAAGTCATGTTGATAATGATGATGAAGATAATGACGATCACAATAAAGGCGAAGCAGGTAAATGTATAATAATCGAGGATGATGGTGATGACGAAACTAATCGTCGGCGTAATGTGCCTGTAAGAGACAATCGAAACGATGATTACAACTATGCTATGAGACCGGAGAATATCAAACAAGCATTGCGCACCGATTTTCATTTGAGATGTGATCATATCAATCTGTTTCACGAAATACTTAATAGATCTTCGGAAAGACTCGGGATATTCAATTTAGCACAAGACACCGGCTATGTACAATACTTCCTACGCAATCTGTAACCAATTCCTCCATCTGCGTGTAACATTCAAATCGTTTATACTGGGCCAGTGGGAATAGGAAAAATAGGACATTGGATATGCACCAAATATGACGGAGAAGGAAATATTCATATTTACGACAGTATGAATTCAAGGAGACTGCGAAAAGATCAATGCGATTTTTTGAATGCACTGTATCCATTCAGAAAAAAATATATATATCATAAAGTTCAGCATCAGCCCGATTTCGTTGCTTGCGGGGTATTTTCGATATATTTTGCAACCCTACTCTATCATGGTGAAGCCCCAAGTACACAGTCACATTACAATCCACGTTTGATGCGAGATCACGCAACAACAATTTTGTTGAATCGCCAATTGTTGCGTTTTCCCGTAGAAGGGTATGAAGCTCGATGAGAACTGAAATGGAGATGGATGTTCGGGATCGAAGTATCAAAACCAAATTTCAGACAATTCTACATCATTTCCAAGCAGAATGAGGAAATCGGAAATTGAACAATTTTAAGACTTCCATTCCGAAGCAAAAGAAAAGACACAGAAAGAATTGAAGAATTCAGCCTTTGAATTGGGATGATTCTGACATAATTATCAAAAACATTAATTGCTTTAGTAACAGTGGATATTCAGCCATTGTCAGAGAATTGTCGGTAAACTTTTTTTTTCTATCGTCGATGAAAATTCTGTAATTTCTTTGGCTGAGATCAGAATATATGCAACTAACATTTTGGATATTGAGAAATGGAGAAAAATAAAAAAAAATAATAATAATAATCACAATAGTTTCGGCATAAATTAATGAACAAATCTTTTCTTAAACACTGACTTTTATGCGATTCCCGTTCAAATTGATAATTCATCCACCAGAAGACTCTAAGAATCGAAGCGGACAAAAAATAAAAAGTGATATGGAAAACTATACCGTCAGAGATGCAGATCTCGGACGGTATTCTGTGGTCGGATGGAGGAATAACACGTCCGAGAACAGACGTTCTTTAGGTGTCCGGGAACTTAATCAATAACTTCGGATGGGCTGTCCGAGATCTGAATCAATGACTGTCGTAATTGTTAATGCTTATTTTTATTAGAAAAGCCGGCGATAATGGGGAAAGTCCATTTAATAATATGGAGAACAAATGAATTAACAGCTCTTATCCTTCACACATAAGATTTATGGCAGAAGTTTCCCATGAATCAACTCTCTTCCTAGCCCTAACCTTAAACGTCCGAGAACTGCATCCCTCACGGTACTGAATTGAATAACCAGAAAAAAAATCTGAGGTAACCGGGTAAAAAAAAGAAATATTTGGAAAATTCTATCCCATATAAGTACTTGTAGCGCGTTCATTTGACGCATTTCGTCTATTTCGTTTCTCAACAATGGAGGTTGGTTAGTGGGTTGAAATTGTTATCAGGATACTGGAAATATTATAACTTCAACTCTCAGATGAAGAAGAAAGGGACACAATTCTTCCTTGAATAATAGCGATTTTCGATAAACATCCTGAATCCTCATAAAATCTTGTTATCATCTAAATCTTCCATTGCGGAGAGAATGATATTCATATTGAGTCTGAGTTTCCGAATATATTCATGAAAATTGAACACTGTATTCCAAATTTTCCGTTCTTATTGGATGAATCGTCGTTATTGGTAGTTCAACAGTCGAGTCATAAAAAATCGATCAAACATTAACGATCAGCTTTATGCTAAACCCTTCCTAGTGATATAGATTGTTTTGTTTCTTATCATATTTCGCCTTTATTACATCTCATTGTACATCTATAAAAATACAAAAAAGTCTTTCAAAAAAAAATATTACACATAATATCACAGCTGTAGAAAATACAAAAAATTTCTTCAAAACAAAAAATCACAAGAAATATCACAGAAGATGTAAAAAATATCACCGACGATGTAACAAAAGAGGTTGGCTTCTTTTCTTTCTTTTTTTGTTCATTCTATCGTTGCAATTGTCACCGATCTTCAGAAAAGAATGATTTGAGATCCAATTTTCTTCTAATTGAAGTGGAAAATCATGGCTCGACTTGCGCCACGTCCACCGCCACCGCCGCGTCTACCTCTTCCTCCACGACCTCCACGTCATCCACGCCAAAATTTGCGAGCAACACCACCATTGGTTCCTCGACCTATGGAGAAACATTTTTGAAAGAAGAATGAAAATAGTATCTTCATAATACTCTTCTAAACAACTTATTCATGTGTAAATTATTAGGAGAATTGGTGCAGAATAGAATATCCAAGTTTCCTATACAGTACTTAGTACATTAGTTTCTCTTAAAAAAATGTAAGCAAAAACGAAACTCGGGAAAATTCATGCCACGAATTTTTGCCCTAAAAATATCACTAACCTAACATAAATATAGAAAAAAAGTAAAAAGTAAAGATAGAACCTATTGATTTTCATGGTTAAATATTTTCTTCGATTTTTTTTTCCATTGTTCGATTTCTCATTTTTCTTGACGCAATTTAGTTTTTCTACATTCATTCCACTGAAGATAATCTTTGAATTTTCCTTTAAAATTAACTATTTTTCATTCCACATGTATACACATGTTGAAAATTAATTTGTGTGATCAATTGAAAAATACAAAATGGTTCAAGATTTTCTAACCTTTGCGAAATATGTAAATATGAATGGGTGAATCGTTACTCACGTGTATTCCTACGACGTTGATGTGCTGAGAGAAATGTATGCAATAGTTCAAGAAACTCCTGGGCCGTACGTAGTCGTCGAGCCATGATAGTTTGCAACAGCTCACGCTGGAGCTGTTGCTGGTGCTGTTGCTCTTGGCGTTCGAGAAATTGCACCAAAGTCTCGATTACTGGTCCAATACCAACTGCTGGATCCTCCCCATTCTCCTGTCCATCTCCATTGCCATCCAAGCTGAGGGGATCACGATTTTGGGGATCTGGAGCCGCGAAATTATCCTGCTGAGGAGGCATTCCCAGCAACCTCTGCATCTGATCCAGTAACTCTATGGGAAAACATGAGTAAAGACTTTTCAGTAGAAGATTTTAGTTCTTTTCTATCTCACGATTTTTTCATGCTGATTCTTTCATTATTTTGAATTTCTTGAAAGTTGAAAATTTGAGTTTTCCTGACAAATTTTTTTTTTCAGAAGTAACACTATTCAATAATGCAAAAAAAAAATATTCTCGAAAAAAATTTATTCTTCAATTAGTTCGCTGTGAGACAAAAATTCAAGTGAAATTGAATAGATTTTCGAGAATTCAAAACAATATCCGATGAATGTATACATTGAATTCCCTAGCGCAGTGACCTTCAGTCAAATACCCCCTCGCTTGTGACTGCCCTGCCCCTCGCCAAGGAAGTGTAAATAACTCTCTATTTAGATGTATTATTACTCTAGATATTCTCGATGTTATATCACTGTAGTTTCACCTATTCCAATACAATACTTGCTTTTTTTTTATTGCAATCTGTTCGAGTTACCCGTATTTCTCAGCCCTTCACTACATAGAAAAATCGTGTCCTCATGGAAACGATTTTTATTATCAAAAGAAGATCAATTTATTTTCACATTCACTGTCGAGAAAGTTTGAGCGTGCCATGAGGTACTTATCATTGAAATCCTTGGACATCTCTAAATTTATACTCCTTGTTGTCCTGAAAAATCAAATACGAGGTTTTGTTACTGATAATTAAAATGAAAATGATGAAAAATGATGGTAGTTGTCACTTTTGTGTCACAGAAATAAAGAATTTTAGTACTCACCGTTACAAAATTCAATTAACACAAACACGTGACGAGTTTTCGTACCGCGCCTAATCACGGCAATGGGGTTTTTCACTCTCACTCAAACGCGCAATCCTCTTACCCCCCACTCCGGCGAATCGTACCCAAAACAATGTCGACCGCAGATAGCTATGATCCATATAATCCGAGACATATTTCAGTATTTAGGTATAGTGATGACATCTTCAGGAGATTTTGTGATATTGGTAATCAATCAGCGTATAGATTCCTGTGATGTGGGTATTCATGCGACCATTTGAAAAAATGGTAATAAAAATTATGGAAAATTGAAACCATTTTTTTTTCGTCATATCAGAAATTGCAATTCCATGATGAGAATTTTCTCCGCAGTTGGTCACTTACATGAATAGAATTGTCAAAATCTGCGTTCCTTATTGATTTTTATTATGATGAAGAAATGAAAATGCAACCAAACCAAAACAATTGAAAAAAAAATATATATATATCCAAGAATTTCATTCAAAAAAATCGGCCGACGTTTTTTCATTGAATATCCTCTATAGAAATTACATGAAAAACAGATAGAATTTCCCGAAAAAATTCTAATACAGTTCCGAATGAAATTTAATAGGATTTATTGGAGAACGTGCTAGGTTTTTTCGATTAAATTTCCTTTTCATATGTGTAACTCGCCGTCCTCTAGGTTCCACATTGATGAAAAAAAATAAATAAAAGAAATTAAAAAAAATAAATAAAAAAAAAAATAACGAAAGAAAACAATTGGTCGGGAAGTTAGTGGTTCGACCCATAATGGGTCACACCCACTTCAACCCGCCCCTCATGGGAGGGAGCGAAGTGAGCGACCAACAACCCAGTTGGTTTACAACCTACCCGCAATGGGAGCGAGCGAAGCGAGCGACCAACAACCCGGTCGAATTTTTTTTTTAATTTTTGTTCTCACTCCGCACGTTTTGAGGTAAATGTAACACTTGCGAGGTCGTTGAAGTTACCCCTTCACCTCCGGGGAGGTTAAAATTTTCACACAATGAGGGGAGTTTGAAAATAAACCCGAGCTCAAATCATGTGTTCACAAGAGAGGTGAGTATTTTTTTTCAATTTTTTGTTCTCACTCCGCATGGATTGAGGTAAAGGAAACATTTCTAAGGGGGTGAAAGCCACCCCCATACGTATCGGGGAGGTTCAAATCTTCACACAGTGAAAGGAGGGGGTTGAGAAATGAGTCCGAGCCCAAATGAAGTGTCCAAAAGGGGGTGAGTATTTTTTTTCGCTTTTTCCTCTCAGTTCGCGTCAGTACAAGAGAGTGCATGCGAGCATCCACAGTCTGATGGAACACCCCTGATTCCGGAATTCGTCGATTGGTCTATCTATCGCGGTACCATCGCGGAGCCTCTGCTACAGTACACTTCAATTCCCCATAAATTAGATTCATATGAAAGTGTGCATTCACTCTGTAATATTTCATTCTTCATTTTACGCCAAATGCTGATAAATATCAAACATAGATAACGTTCCCTCATAAAATAAAAATATTTACCTATTATTTATCGATTCTCATTGGAAGAACCTTCTCATATCTTGAATGTTGACATTGCAGGGAAATGAGAGATGATGTGAATAACACGAACGAGTCAAACAAAATTCTATGTTATTGTGTATTTTTATCGTCTCTCGTCCTCTGTTTATGTCAACATTGGGATTCCTAGAAGTTCCTTCAGTGATAAATCACGAAAATAAGAGGGAAATTTTGTGTTTTGGGGAGGGAGAGTCAGTCATTTTCGTCAGTCGTGTTCGATTCTTTGCCGGAGTCAGACGTGAAGTGAGAATTATGGTGAATTTCACAGCGAACGAATACGCTGATATGCACCTTATTTATGGTGCATGCCGGGGTAATGCAGTCGAGTCAGCGCGAACGTATGGCATTACATACCCGAATCGACAACACCCGAATCAACAAGTGGTCCGGGATGTGGACTCTCGCATGCGAGAGAATGTGGTTGTGCCACCAGGTCACGGTGGGGGACGTCAACGTCGGCTTGACGTCGAGGAAGCAGTCTTGGCGTGTGTGGAGGAAGACCCGATGACAAGCTGTCGGAAGGTGGCAGCAGAATTGGGCTGCCCGAAATCCACGGTGAACCGCATCTTGCGAGAAAATTCTCTCCACCCGTTTCACTACACCAGAGTCCAGAAACTCGAGCCGGGAGATGCAGAGCATCGTCTGCACTACTGTCAAGAGTTTCTGGCTTTGCATTACCAGAATGAAAACTTCTTGGCCCAAATCATGTGGACCGATGAAAGTCTGTTCACGAGAGAGGGGATTTTCAATCAACATAATTTACATAATTATGCTGTTGAAAATCCTCACTTGGTGAGGGAAAAAAGCTTTCAAACACGGAATGTGAACGTGTGGGGAGGAATAGTGGGTGATCGTGTGTTTTTCTTGCAACTTCCGGATTATGTAAATGTAAGTATTTAGTACACAATAAGGCGTGTCAAATTACAGCCTTATACTTTTTTTCTTGTCCCCGAAAAAGTCTTAGCGTATAAAAAGACATTCAAGACGACGAAATATGTTTGTTGAATCGTCATCTCTCCGTATGCATGCATTTTTTACATAAAAAAAACATTTTTCAATTAAAATGAATAATTCCGGAAATTGGGATTCGCGAGGAGATGGAGGGGCGAAGCATGAAAACAGAGGGTTGCAAATTTTACCCGGCAAGGGGAGAGGATCCCAGAATCTATCTGAGCCACCGCCATTCCTCCGTTCGCATGCGTTAAAAAATAAAATTGTTAAAAATTAAATGAAAATTTAGAAAATTGACATTGTAATGTGCACATTCTGCATATCCCGCTTCAGACGGATTCAGTTTGATTTTCTAATCAAGCCCTTCGTTATCTTCTCTTTAGATGTTCCTTGAACCCCCTTTGGAAAATCTTACCCGGAATCGAATATTTCATGACTATTTTTAGACTTTAAAGTTGATTCATTCTGACCATCTTCTCATACGCCAATACTTTTTGGGGTACGGGGAGAAAAAAATTATAGGGTTGAAATTTTACACGTCCCGGTGCAAACGTACAAACATACGACATTTTCTCTCAAAAATATTTTCAATTTTCATTTGTGCTTCTCTCAAGGTCAACAGTACTTCGCATTCATCAGCCAGACGCTTCCGGAATTGTTGGACGATGTACCTGTTGCAGGTAGACCTCGCTGGTTCCAGCAAGATAGAGCATCACCCCACTGTGCTCGGGAAGTTACTGCTTACCTGAATCAGTAGTTCCCTAGACGTTGGTTCGGTCGCTATGGCCCGCTCCACTGGCCTGCACGGTGAGACTACTCGATGAAAAAATTAAACCGGAAAATAATCGATTTCCACCCTCACTAGCTCCCCTGACTTGACGCCGCTGGACTTCTTCCTTTGGGGCTATCTGGAGGATCAAGTCTACGAATCAGAGCCAGAGAGCGCGGAGGACTTAGTGGCGCGACTACATGCAGCCGCAAACAAAGTGGATGCTGAAATGCTCCAGCGTTTTAAGGTGGAAGTCCTCAGGAGGATTCATAGCTACGTGGCTGCAGGAGGAGGCCATTTCCAACAACTGCCAGCATGAAAATCCATCACAATCGGCCCTTTTCAGGGCCAACAAAATTTTTACGTGGCTCAGCAAGAGATTTTGAAGGCAAGAGGCCGGGATAAGACTTCATATGGGTCGATAGATAATCAAAAATAGAAAAAAATACTCACCCCCCTTTTGGACACATGATCTGGGCCCAGAATCGTCCCTCAACCTGCTCCCCTAAATGCATGGGAATTTTGACCTCCTTGATAAGTGCGGCGGGTGGCTTCCACCCCCTCGAAATATCCAATTTTCCCTAATCCATGCGAAATGAGAGCAAAAAGCGAAGAAGACATACTCGCCCCCCTTTTGGATACATGATTTGAGCTCAGACTCATTTCTTAACCCCCTCCCCTCATTGTGTGAAAATTTCAACCTCCCCGATAGGTGTAAAGGTGGCTTGTACCCCCTCAAAAATTTTACATTTACCTCAAAACGTGCGAACTGAGAGTCAAAATGAAAAAAAAATACTCACCCCCCTTTTGGACACATGATTTGAGCTCGGACTCATTTCTTAACCCCCTCCCCTCCTTGTGTGAAAATTTCAACCTCCCCGATAGGTGTAGGGGTGGCGTCTACTCCCTCAAAAATTTTACATTTACCACAAAACGTGCGAACTGAGAGTAAAAAGCGAAAAAAAAATACTCACTCTCCTTTTGGACACTTGATTTGGGCTCGGACTCATTTCTTAACCTCCTTCCCTCACTGTGTACAAATTTTCTCCTCCCCGATAAGTGTGGGATGGCTT